TGTCAACGTTAAACCTTTCCTTTTTTAAGTGTACAACCTTTACGCAGAGAAAGCAAGTAAAAATAGTAACATATCTAACCCACAAGCTGCAATACGTACTATTAGTTAACCCCTAAATTAGTAATCGCAATGTAGCTTGCCGTCCATTTAATTTTAATGAAGCGATTAACCCCACACACGACACTAAAATTTGCATATTTGTACTTAAAATTTTGAAACGAGAAAATATTAAAAATAAAATGTATAGCAAAATGTTAAGAAAAATGCATTAAGAAATACTTGGCAAAGCAACTATGTGCCCAAGATATTACAATTGTGCATGCTTCCTGAAGATCAAAAGGCTGCTTTGTAGTCCCTACCTGAGCCTGGAGCCTATAATCCTACCAAAAGGAACAAATGGAAATTGAGATATTGAGAGGAATAAAGTATGACACTCTCCAATTGATAATCCGAGAAAAAATTGTAGAAAAAAGATCCATTGAAGCAGAAGAATTATCGGGGCCTGACCTATTTTAGGCTTAAGCATCCAAAACAAAAAATTGCCAACTTTGGAAGCGCAGACTATTAACCCCAAATCTGCCACCAACTTTTTAAAAAATATTACTTTTATCTAAGCTAACTAAGCCGATTCCGCACAAACTAACTTTCAAATGTGCTGAGAGCTGAAAAAAAGTGATATTGAAAATAAAATGTAAATCCAAAAATTGATTAGTCATCAAAATACTAAGAAACATCTGTGTCAACTTTATTGTCAAACTTAAATTGCTTAAAGAGGTTAGTTTGTAGTCGCGATCTGAGTCTGGAGCAGTTTCTACTGTGGAAGTTGGAAGTCTTGATATCTGTTATGAGCGAATCAGAAGTATTCGAAAACTATAACGAAAACCCAAGAGTTGAAAAAATTAAATTTGCAATGTAACCGTCACATTTGGGGTCTCAGCTTTTAAAATTAATGATCGTTCGTATATCAACTTAAGTCTCAACGCAATACACCGATTAACCCCAAATCTGCCATAAAAATTTTATTACATAATCGTTTGTGTCATTGGGTGGTTAAAATTTATTTTAAAATGATAATAAAAATTTTTTACTTGACAGTCTCAAATTAGTGAAGTGTTCGAATATCGCCAGCAATTTAAACTGATACCCGACCCATTTACAATCAACATACCAAACAAATTTTCCAAATCGACTTCCGATGTAACGCGACTCGGTTCGTCATTATAGATAATTTCGAACACAAACAATCCCCGTTACGCTTTGACAAAATAATGCACGCGAGAGGGCGTTCGAAAAAATGAACCGTTTTTCCCGGAGCGAGAAGGTTTTTCTGGTCCGGATTTTGCACGAAAAAGTTCGTATCAGCATAGATATAATTAAACCTTATTACGGGAGAACGGTAAAACAAAGAACGGCATTGTGCTTTGGTGGACGATACGTGTCCAATCAGCTCAAAGCATCTCGAAACTGCAGCACGCGTATATCCTTTGCCGAGATGTATTTTACGGTAAAATCTACTCTGTCTCTCTATGTATGTGTGTACCTCTGGTGGCTTTAATAATGAATATTGTAGTTAATTAACGGTGAGTGGAACAGTGCCTTTTTTTGTCGGGTAGCACTGTTGCCACACGGTTCACTTAATAAGCTTGAAAATGGTAAAGAAATGCATATGAAGAAAAAAAGTATAATCTAATAATTAATTTTAAAATATGATCAGTTATTGCGAACCAGTTATTTAGCTATATGACGTTTCCATGAGAAAGACATTTTAAAATTGCCATTTATGGCTGGTCGTTGTTATAGCTTTCTCTCCTCCTCATGCAATAGCGAAAAAATGAAACACAACCTGTGTAAATGAGACCAAAGTTACTACATAAATAGTAAACTATTAGTTCAATTCCGTGAGGATGATGTTGGAAGTAGGGATGAGATTCGCTTAAGCTTAAGCTTAAGTTTTTATTTTTAAATTTTCCCCCGACATTTTTAGTGAGGATATTGGTACGAGTACATCAAAACAAAACTAAATTTGTGTGATTTTGTACTGATTTACTGGTCTATTGTCAGCACTCTCCACACTGCGTCGACAATTTGTAAAATACGTAAAAAAAACAGAGACACTTTAATCTCTGAATATATTTGTGTTGTCGTTGCTTTGTCTTGACGTGCCTTAGTGTACCAAGTATACTAATTTAAAATTCCAAAATCATCAATTAACAGTAACAACATTTTTACAATGTAAATGCCGTTCACATTTAACAATCCAATGTATACTAATACTAATTCTCATTACTAAAAAATATATGTAAATTTGTTTTATTTTTGAAAATAATTAGAAAACTTTCTAGAAATTAGGATAGTTGTGGTTAATTTAAATCTTTTTTTTTTGCAACACTACACACACTTGAACGTTGGGATAATTTGCGAAATACAAAATGGTTCTGCCAATGTCTCATTTCAAGTCGTCCCAGCTTAATTTCAATAGCATAAAATAAAGTGTGCAAACCACTAGCCAACCATTAGAAAAACGTTGAAAATGTTGAAAATTTACAAGAAAGTTTGTAGTTAAAGTTGAACCTAAAAAGTAGGAAGCAATGTACTGTGAAAGGAAGTTGAGTAGACATGGAAAAACTCATTGAAGTTCTAAATAAATTCCAAAGAAACTGCCTTAAATTTGATTAAAAGCTGTAACTCAGAGGAGTAAATAGCAAAGAAATATTTGGTCTAACTTGCGTTGGAAAAAAGGAAACAAACAGCAAAAGCCAAATTGTCCACAACCGAAGTAAGTTTTGGTGCTCTAACAATCTGGAATGTGCTTTATCATATCTCTAAAGTCAGGTGGACGGAAAACGGTGAATAGTTAAAATAAATATTAAAATTCGTTTTCCATTTAAGGTGCTTCAAGGAGGGTACGAATAGGGAAATACGGGATGTACATTGGATCGTGGATAGAAAGGGCGAATAATGATTTAACTACGGTTTCCTACCTAAGAGGTTGCTTATTGAGTAGAATTCGTTCGAGAAAAATGTAAAAAGTTAAAACGGTGCTGGCAAATATTTCTTGAAAAAAGGTCTTGTTAATATACATTCCGAGCAAACATGCTAATTATGTTAAGGTGATAAATTAAAAATTAATAAACTAAGTTTTTTAGTCTACCGAAATTTTGGCCCAATCAGAAAATAAAGTCACTTTTTTTTTTGTTTTAACACTTCCAATTAAAAGTAATCTACTGTTTGAACATTAGAATTTTGTAATTTATATGCAAACGTGTGCGCATATAAATGACGTGCAAGTGTATATATTTGAATAAACTCGTTATTATAATCCTGTCTGGCGCAAATGTTAAAGTATTTGGAGATTTGGTGAATAGATAATAGGATTCATATTCGCTAAAAGATAAACCTTATAAAAAGTGTCTAAAATATGATATCTGAAATTAAATTTAATGTTTCATGTAAATCAAACGAGTTGTTGTAATGTTAATTGCGATTACTTATCTAAAACATTTAGATTATGAAGACAAGGAAGCTTACTTATTTTTTCATTTTTCTTTAAAATAACGGAAAAGTAAAGTTAAATAATTTGTTTTGACAAATACCATTCCTTGGAGAGAATTTTGTATGTTGAAATAATTATTTATGCGCCACAGTAAAAAATTAATACCTTATAGCATATACCAAAATATGAAAAAAAAGCGGCTCGTAAATGGCTGAATAGCTAAACTGACACCTCTGGATTTATCTATTTATCTATACATGGATTGGAATATATAACAGTAGGAACATATTTTGGGATGGTTCTTTGTTCTTTTTTATTGGACGGCACGTATGTTATAATTAGTTAATTGTTAATGTACTCAGTAAATAATTTCTTATTATTTGAACAATTAATATTGTAATATTATAGGCAACAATCTTTTTAGTACAGCTTTAAAAAATGCATTTCATAACTACCTAATCCCCAACTGCTTTAAACTTTTCAAGAAAGTGGATTATTTATTTTAGCTTATAATCTAATTTTTAATTCAATTAAGTCAGGGAAAATATTATTTCAATCACAGTCAGGAAATATCATACTCTAAATTTTTAAATTTTGATAGTGACAGCGACGATAAAGTTAGTAACAAAATTAATCATTTCACAATTGAACCATTGCCTTAATGAGGTGGATATAGATTTTAAAATCGAAACAAAACATCTGGGCTTATAGAGGAATACTAACCGACAATTTACTAAACATGACAATGGACTCAGTCAACACTGGATCACTGGAGGAGTCACTATATCCAGTACCAGTATATGATTATTCTTGAGCAATAGTGACAGAAGTTCATGCTTTCGTCAGATTTTTTTCAATATTTGATAATATAACAGGATCAAGCAAAATAAACAGAACCGTCCTTAAGCTTAAATCTTTAAGATACCTTCATTTTTTCCATCTCACTTGCAAAATTTTTAAAAACCAATCTCTATTTGGGTAAAAAGTTCTTTTAGCTTCGCTATAAGAAGGCATTATTTCAAAGAACCTAAATTGGTTAAAAAATTACCATTAAAGAGTCTAAACGACTTACCTTCACTTAATTACAAAAACATTTTTGACAATATAATATTTTTGATAATTATATTTGTTTGCTCGTGGTTCTCATTTGTAGTAAGTAGAAAATATTTATGTGTAACTTATTTATAAAAATAGTAAAACTTTTTTGTTTGAATTTGTCATCATTAATTTTAACAATAATAATTTTTGTTTCATTACTCCTCCCATAACGTTATTAAAGTTCTTATTAGCGCCAAACACGATTTCTTTCTGTTATCCTATCGCACCAAATCGGGCATTTTAATTTTAACCAGCCCCCTCCCGGAGGACAATTCGCCGTCAATCTATAAAATTCCAAACCCGCCGCCGCGGGTCGAATCGTCGCCTCGACGCTGTCGTAATTCAAGTTTCCGGGGGTAAATTAAAAGCGAGACCGTGCGCCGACCAAAACATTCGACAAAAAACTCACCCGAGTCAAATACAACTTCGCTGATCATCATTCTCTGGTCTGCGAAAAACAAACGGAGCTTAATGAAACGGGCCAGCCGCTGATGAAGATTGATGGTAACGTTGCGAGCGTTCTCCAACACCCTGTCGGCGATGTAAGTGTACGAGAGGATCGGTCCGTTGTAAAAACGACCGCCGACGCTGAACATCACTTTCGCCTTTGAGAATACCTGCGAGGAGGAGACGCTGTTTATGAAGAAGTTGCCGAAGGGGTCAGTAGATATGCTACGCGGCTTCTGTGACACCACCCCTCGGAAAATAATTATGTCAATTGTGGATAAAAATAGTTATCAAATAATAAAAATTACGATATAGCTGCATTTTGGTGGAGGTATATAAGTAAAAACGCAGTGTCAAATGTGTGCTAAAAAAGTTATCCAATGTCAAAAGTCAAAATGTTATTTTCTTTTTATTTATTTTTTCGCGATTTTACCCCACCTGCGGGATATTGTAGTCCACGATCTGTTAGGGCGGAGTTTAATAGAAAAATACTGTATTTACATCATGAAAATATTGTTAATAATATTTATATGTCAATATTTTAATCCGATTCGTGCCCTTCAAAGTCGACTTAAGGAATTTTCGCTTCTCATATTATGAACTCAAAGTTTATATGCTAATAACTGTGACACTTTCACTTTCAAAATTTTATTACCAATATAGGACAATTGTGACTAGATGTTTGGCGAAACGTCAGCAAGTTCAGTTCATCAACAACCAACGCAGGAGAACTCCAGAAGATTTGTAAATGGTATGGCAATGGCACTAGTAATAAATACGTGTATTTAAGTATTTAATTTAATATTATAATATATTATTATTATTATTATTATTATTATTATTATTATTATTATTATTATTATTATTATTATAATATATTAAATATATGAGCCATATGGAAAATAAAGTACTCTTAATCAAGGCCACGAAGGACTGACTAAGAGATTCCGCTCCTTTTGAGAGTATATTATTAACATTATATTGTATATGTATATTAAATAAATAAATAAAATAAATCAAAAATTTTCACTTTTGACTTTGAAATACTTTTTTTGCGCAAAAGACATCGATTAAAAAGATCGGAATTTTCGTTATTTGAAATATTTATTTTCACCGAATTACCTTTATTACTTAGATTACTGCATTAAACTATGACAAGCAATTCTACACGGTGTACATATTATAGAAACGTACGTTTCTAAGATGGAGGTTTAATTTTGATTTCTATTTCTTCTGAATAAAATTTTGGAAAAATATGGATTTTTAGATGGAAATTGGTAACTGCAGTTTCTTAACAGTTTGTCATTTTATATCATGGTTGCTGTGTACAAATTAATGAAACTGATCGCTTACGAACGAATCTCTCTGTCAAATATTAGAAACCGATTTAAAAACGCCCTGTGTAGTAGTTGACTATGTAGAGTAGTTCGCAATGAATGCATCAAGGAGCAACCCTAATTAAAATAATAAAAATAATGATATCTCTTATTATGCAAAAGTCACTCATTAATTATGCAATAATAATTTAACACGCTGTGTCTCATTAATCAACGATATTTTACTAAAACGTAATTGATTCAGTATCATTTTATTCGTACATCAATAGAAAAAATTCCTTTTTTACCTTATATTATTATTCTCATTTTATTCCTTGCGGATATTATGCTTATGTTATTCTCAGCAAGCGACTTCTTTCCTTATCTCTCTGGCGCTACTGTTTATTACAGAGAAAATAAAGAGGAACAGGTGTCCTTCACTGTAAGGTTCAAACCCTTCATATCTTCTTTATATCTTTATGATTAAGGGTGGCTCCATCATTAGGAACTTAAAATTGCAGCAAAAATTGGTATGCGATTTAACGAAAAAGAACAATGTCGCATCAGACATTAGCGACTATCGCAAATTAGGGTTTTCCGAATATCTAGCGCCAGACGATGGGGTATCTAACATCAGCAAGTCCATTAATCATGAAGAACGCGACTGATTCTAAACTGGGTTAAATATTTCCTTTTAGCTCCGGTAAATAATCAGACTCGACTCAATTCGGGGACTTAATCAATTTTATAGTTGCGAAGTTTTTCGAAAGCAAACTCCCGTATTACGGGAACCTAATTGGTAACTTGTTAAACTGTAGAATCTAGGACATTTGTTTAAAACTTGTTTGCATAAGTTAAAAGTCCCAGGGTGCGACCGCGCCGCGAACTTTGATTGCCCCAACGGAATTGGCGGAAAAATCTCCATCCCCAAAACTTAGATTAACGATGCTTCCGCGTATTTTTACTCAAGAGCAAATTTGTATTCCGAACTTTGCACCTCTCGTATCGAATAAGATCGGTAGGAGGGATTTAGGTAAGTATTAGGTAAGAAACTTACCTGGACGTTCCTTCCGAAAAAATTGTTGGTGTACAGATGTACCGCGCTGAAATTTCTAACCTGATCGAATTCAAAAACCAGTTCGACGTAATCGGACTCGAAAGAATCGTTTTTCCATGACACCCAACCGTTCCCTGAAAGGTCAGTTGATTTCCTAAAGTTTGTATTACGAAGACTTCACACCAACGTTTCCCAATATGTATAGTGTTTTGTTTTTTAATTATTATTAATCAGTAAATAGTTTTTTTTGGTATTTTCATTTTTTTGCCTTCAAAAGAAATTTGAACACATTTGCAATTCCTCATATACATGAACGTGTTATGGCAGTATAAGAAACTAGGTGTGTGTCTACTGAAAATCAGATAACGCAAGTACGGGAGAGGAAGCTTTGCTACTTACCCTTGCCGTAGCCTATATCCACGCGAAAATTATCAAGGCCAACTTCTCCGTCAACCAAACGTCCGAGACCTTTGAAAAGCATTCCTTGAGAACGGTGTCCATCGTAGTTGCTATCATACAGTCCCTGGGAGACTTCGGAACTCGCAGGAACGCTATAGGAGATGATCCCTCCTGTAACGGAATACGGTAACATTAGGAAATAGTTCCAAAACGACCGCTATGGGCATCGAGTCGAATACATTATTTAACTCGATAAAATTCATAACTCTGTGGGATACGATGCGCATTTGTTGGTAGATACATATTTGCTTAAGTGCTTTTGTCCTGTAGCTTACAATACAATAATAATAATGCACTTTTATTTTCAAACCCGCACCAGAATGGTTTTACGAAGGCCTCCAACTTGTGTTATATTTGTAAATAACAAACATACAAGGGATTCAGAGTGACATAATGTTGATTTGGACCTGTTTATACGTACCCTCTCAAAAAAAAAGTAATAGCAATAAATTCTTCAATTAAATATTTCGACAGTCAAATAAATAGGCTCATGGGGTTAATTTTAGGACTTTCAAATATAGCAACTTGCTAGATACAGGTGATTTTACATCTTGGCCATAAAAGTATGCTGTCGCTTATATAGAAGATTACTTTCTCTCCGATCTCTTTATTTCCGGCACCCGGCGAATTACAGAATTTGACGCGAAGTTGTCAGATTTAATCTGGAACTCTCCGGGTAAGTCGGGTAGTGTGCGAAACCGTACCCCTTGTTTATTAAATATTTCGCAGTTCCTTATTGTCTGATCCGTCCATTAAAACAATTATAACGAACGCCGGCATCTTTAATAATACATAAACCTAATTTGATGCCACGTTGCCGACGAGCTGTATATAGGGCGCCAAAAACAAAATGTTTTAGATTTATCAGCCCAGTTAAATTCCACTTGCAATATAATTTAATCACATCTGGTTTGCAAATTTATGCCGTATAGACTTCGATCATATTTAAAACATGCTCGGTTTATAAATTATAAACTCCCTTAAAGTCAATAAATATCCTTAAGTTGTAAAGGAAATCCACTAAAGAAAATTAACCCTCGGTGCCGGAAACGAACGTAACAAATTAAACCCCGAATTAACTTAAAATTGTCTCACGTTTTCTAGAGTAAAACACGAACCGGGCCAGATTCTAATTAGTTCAAGAAGTGTCCAGATGTTCCATTCGAATACCCGAAGATTCATTGAAGTGGACACCGTAATTGTTACCACGTCGAAGCTTATTAACAAAATCCGCAAACTTGAATCGAGTTCGTGGACCGGACGACATCTGGCCCACTCCTCAGTTCCTTAGTTATCCAGGCCGGTTCCGTTGTTGTATCCGACCTTCCGCATCTTTAATTTTATTTCGACCAAGTTAAATCCGAGAAGCTCCTTGGTACGAAAAGGCCACAATATTTTTGGCCCAAACAAGTTATTTATGAAAGTGTGATGCTTTCTTAACAAACAACCAAAGTCCTCAAATCATAATTTCTATAAATAAACCAGCCCGATAAAACTTAAATGCGTTTTAATTTTTAACTGGTGAAAACCGTTATTACACCGGATGTTCCGGGGTAATTGACAATTCGTAAAGTGAAAATCACAATAACCCATAATTAGACGACGAAATCCTTGACGAAAATAGGTTTATGAAATGTAAAATTAATCCATCAGATAATTTGTTTGAACTGGAATTACTGCCATGCAAGTAAATAAATATCATAAACCATTTTTTAATCGGATCAACGAATTCGTCAGGCTTGTCGTGTATAGCTGCAAACGTATTACATCGGTCAGTTTGAGTAATGATTCACTAAAGCTCGTGAACTATTTTAACCCCATTATCAATTACTGTCCGAGTGCGGGGTCAGACATGCCTGCAAGGACGATGCAAATAGGCTGGTTCTCCGAGCAAATTAAGGATGCTTAATGCATGTCTCTGTTTACGGTATCGAGACCGTGTTTTAATAAGGATTATTTGGGACATAGATACATACGGTTTACCTAGAATTATGATATTTGTTAAATCCAGGGGTCCGTTTCGGATTCGGTTATTATTAAAACTTATGAAATTGCCACTACAATGTCCACTAATATTAATTAGAATAATAATTATTATTAATGTATTTTACCCCATAAAGGTAAAAGAAGACCTATCACGTATTAAAAGTAGGGTGAATCTCCTGTAGTATGCTTAATCTTAAACTTAAGATGAAATAAATTAATGTTCAAAAGTTAAGAGAACTTGAAAAGAGAGATAAACTCATTTCGATGAAAAATCGGAGATTTAAAGTATTTTGTAGGTCATGACGACGTCAGGCTAATACCTCTATGGAAAGATTTGGTAACCTGACGACGCATTTGTGACTATGAGACAACATCATTCCGATTAAAAACAAGATTGCTTTCGAAAAATCGTCGCTGGATGGGGCAAAAGAAAGAGCTTCGCGGTTGCTTGTGGTAAAGGGGCGCATTGTTTTTCTATCGTGCTCCTGCGTATCACTTTCAAGCTTCGAACTTCAAAGTTACAGCAAACTTTGTTAAATATTAAAATTTGTACAAATCAAATTTTTAGCAGTCTTTCATTTATCCTCAATAATTTACCAACAAAAACTGAAATTTTTGCCCATAACCAACACACACTGTATATGATTTAAACAATGTTCGAAATAGAGGTTATAGCCCTGGATCTCCCACTTTTCCTGGTATATGATTTTTTTTCAATGGAGTAAGTGGTTTTCAAGAAAATACTTGTTTTCTGAAACCATGCGGTACGTGGTAGTAGTAAAAGATTTTCATTTGGATTTTTTCAAATATCTCAAACAGCGTATACGGTAGACGAAAACCGTGAATACAAAAGTTGCATTTTGATTTAATAATTTAATAGCAAAAAGAACAATTTTCAGGAACTATGAGATGATTGTCTATAATTGAAAAACCCTGTATATAATGGAAAAAATGCCAGAAATTAAAGTTATGATCCCCGGTCTTCCGCATATCTTGGTTTATAAATTTTGCCGATCGGTCAAAATATACCAAAAAAAAATTAAAAAAAAATACTCTGCGAGATTTGAGTAAGTTCTTTTTCAACAGATGGAATGTGAACTTCCACCCTTCTGCCAAATCTGATATCGATAGCTGCAAATTTAAGACACCCGTTAATTTTTGAATATATCACTTAATATCTTGAACACCCTGTAAAACAGATAAAAATCTTAAATAAAAAGTTTTAGTTGTTTATGCGGGCTATATCGTCATGTAAAACGGACTGACTGACAGCAGTCTCTCAGTTATAAGGACGCATTTTTCAGTTTTTTGAATTTGCGGCGCACCCTGTACATTTTTGCAAGAAATTTCAGGAATAAAATTTTATGAAGCCGAATCTTATGCGTCTTCACATTCAAGAAATTTTTCTGTCGCGTAAACCATTTTCGAGAAATGATTTTTTTCTTGGGCCTCTGCAAAAGCAGTTTTTATTTTTTTTTAAATACTTCCCGACCCCCCAACCTCCCCAACTTCAATAGGTTCCGTTAGGGGATCAAGCGCTATTCGTCTGCCAAATTTGAAGTAGATAGCTTCAATTTTCTGACGTGTTTCATAGCAACGTCCAAAAAACAGTCGAAAATCGAAAAAAAAAGATGGACGCCGAAAATTGAACGCAGCCATTTTGACATATCTTAAGTTTGAAGCATGTAGCTCAAACCGTTCGGAAGTTATTGTAGAAAAACGGAAAATTTGACTTATTTTAAATTAAATGCCAGGCAGCTAAACGAGTTAATATATTATGATATAAATGTATATTGGTTAGTATAAGTTGCTTCAATAAAAAAAAAACAAAAATTAAGATGCCTACTTTATTTCAAAATAGTAAAAAAAATAAAATAAGAACTCTTTGGTTAACAAAACATAAACTCTAGAATACATAATAAAAAAAAATGTATACAAAAAAAAAGAAGAAGAACTGACAACGCAAGCAAAATGCAAGTAAAAAAACGTCATTTCAGCAAAGCCAGCAAAAGGCTCTTAAAGGGGTTTCATTGTCAAGTTTCGAGTCTTCGAAGAAAGAATCTGGTTCTTATTTCGCAGCATCGCCGTCCTGGATATTCCCAATTAATTCGATATCCATTTCAGCCCGCTGCAAAAGCGGAACTGGCCTAGAATCGTAGCCAAATTTGTCATTTTCTTCTAAATTTAAGGTAGACTGAATTGCAACAAGTTTTTGTACCTTATTTTGTGTCAGTCTATTTCTTTTTTTAGTATGAATAACGTGCAAAGACCAGTTTCTTTCTGACGAAGCGGACGATGGAGGTCCATTTAAAATTCTCGAAGCAATTGGCATAAGTGGCTGCGAGGTACACACAACCCCTGCCACCATATATCTGGATGGGTACTGCTCGCAGATTCCCATAGAGAATTCCTACTAGAAAATCCCGTTTCAGTTCTGGAGTGGGCTAAATTTGCCATTACTTTTCATGTATTTAAACTGACATTTGCGAAATAAAATCAATAGCCAATATAACTTGGTCTTCATTTAATTGCTTCCGTTTTTAAAACGGGAATCAAGAAGATTTGCTCCAAATTGAATAGGTTTACAACAAAATTCGAAGCGCTCTTTTACACATTTTAATAGGTTTTCTCTAGTCAGGCAGGGCAGGCCATCAGTATTTGCGGGACTACCATATATTGCATCTTCTATCAACTTAAAAACAAAAGGCACTTCTGATAATATCAATCGGATTCAATCAGATTTGTTTCGCGGAAATGTGTAGGGGATTCGCCGGTAAACAAGTTGTCAGTGTTGTTACACTGCACTTATTTTTAAAAATATGTTTGAAAATAATTGTTTTGAACAATATCTAACCCGTAAACCTCCCTAGATATTAAAATGCTTTTGGATTTCGTTTCCAACACAAATTCAATTTTTCCCAAATTTTCAAAACGTAATCGAAAACCCCGCGACGTTCATCTTTCGGTCTCGAGAGGTCTCAATATGCCGCCGGTGTCGTAACAATTGACTGGTCCGCATCTATGATTTATCAATAGAGTCCCGCATTGCAACTGGCGCGCGTGGTGGGAGTTTTCCCCCCGGCGCGCCCCAGTTCGGGAACCGTATTTCGGAAAAAAGGCGACCT